GAGAGAGGGAAGAGGGAGAGGGAAGAGAGAGAGGGAAAAGAGAGAGGGGAAGAGAGATAGGGAAGAGAGAGAGGGAAGGGAGAGAGGGAAGAGAGAGAGAAGGGGAAGAGGGGGGCAGAGAAAGGAAAGAGAGAGATGGGGAGAGAGGGGGGGGAGAGGGCAGAGAAGAGGGAAGAGAGAGAGAGGGGGAAGAGAGAGGGGAAGAGAGAAAGGGAAGAGGGAGAGGGGAAGAGAGAGAGAGGGGGAAGAGAGAGAGGGGGAGAGAGAGAGGAGTGGAAGAGAGATGGAAGAGAGAGGGGGAAGAGAGAGAGGGGGGGGGGGAGAGAGGAAGGGGGGAGAGAAAGAGGGGAGAGAGAGAGAGGGGGGGGGGAGAGGGGAAGAGAGAGAGAGAGAGCAAGAAGGAAGTGAGAGGGGGAGAGAGAGAAAGGGACGAGAGAGAGGGCGGAAGAGAGGGAAGAGAGAGAGAGAGGAGAGAGAGAGAGGAAGAGAGGGGGGGAAGGGAGAGACGGAAGAGAGAGAAAGATAGAGGGAGAGAGAGAAGAGAAAGAAAGGGAGAGAAAGAGAATCATATATGCATTCACACACACTTATTGACTCTTTCGTTCTCTCATTGGGGGGGGGGGTGCAACATTTTTGTGTTGCCTAGGGCAGCAGAAAATCGAAATACACCACTGATAGGATGCATGCCGATGATCCCCGCAGGATGGATCGGATCTGCGGATTGGGAAGCATAATGGATCGGACTCCGATCCATTATGCTCAATCCGCAGATCCGAACCATCCTGCAGGGATCGTCGGTATGCAACCTATACAGGGTGACACCGGACCCGCTCCAAGAAAAGGTAAGTTGTAAAGAAAGCCGACGATCCCCACAGGATGGATCAGATCTGCAGATTGAGCATTATGCTCAATCCGCAGAACTGATCCATTCTGCGGGGATCGTCGGAGGGGGTATCACCAACTGTTACCGCACTGGGTGACACCAACCCTAGGAACGCCTTTGGCTCTAAGCTGTATGTTTATGGTTGTTGTCCTGCTGGAAGGTGAACCTCCAGCCCAGTCTCAAGTCTTTTGCAAACACTAACAGGTTTCCTTCTAAGATTGCCCTTTTTTTGGCTCCATCTATCTTCCCATCAACTCTGACCAGCTTCCCTGTCCCTGCTGAAGAAAATCATCCCAACATGATTTTGCCACCACTATGTTTCACAGTAGGGATGGTGTGTTCAGGGCAATATTCAGTGTTAGTTTTCCACCACACATAGTGTTTTGCTTTTAGGTCAAAAAGTTAAATTTTGGTCTCATCTGACCAGATCACCTTCTTCCACTTGTTTGCTGTGTCCCCCACATATCCTCTCGCAAACTGCAAACTTGACTTCTTATGGCTTTCTTTCAACAATGGTTTTCTTTTTTGCCACTCTTCCATAAAGGCCAGATTTGTGGAGTGCACGACTAATAGGTGTCCTGTGGACAGATTCTCCCACCTGAGCTGTGGATCTCTGCAGCTCCTCCAGAGTTACCATTGGCTGCTTCTCTGATTAACGCTCTCCTTGCCTGCTCTGTCAATTTAGGTGGACAGCCATGTGTTGGTAGGTCTGCAGTTGTGCCATACTCTTTCCAATTTCTGATGATGGATTGAACAGTGCTCTATGAGATGTTCAAAACTTGGGGTATTTTTTTTATAACCTAAACCTGCTTCAAACTTCTCCACAACTTTATCATTGACCTGTCTGGTGTGTTCCTTGGTCTTCATAATGCTGTTTGTTCACTAATGTTCTCTAACAAACCTCTGAGGGCTTCACAGAACAGCTGTATTTATACTGTGATTAAATTACACATGGGTGTATTTATTATTTAGGTGACTTCTGAAAGCAATTGGTTCCACTAAATTTTAGTTATGGATATCAGAGTAAAGGGGGCTGAATACAAATGCACACCACATGTTTCAGATATTTATTTGTAAACAATTTTGAAAAACATTTATCATTTTCCTTCTACTTCAAAACTATGTGCCACTTTGTGTTGGTCTATCACATAAAATCCCAATAAAATACATTAACGTTTTTGGTTGTAATATGACAAAATGTGGAAAATTTCAAGGGGCATGAATACTTTTTCAAGGCACTGTAATTCAGCTTTTATGCATAAAAACGTGTATTTTACATGTACACCAATAAAAAAAACTGATTAAGGTCCAAATGCATAATGTGAATATTTATAAGAGAGTAGTTAGGGGAGTCACCAGAACTATATTTAAAATAAACCCTGCAATTAAAAAAAGTCCTGGCTCTGACTGCAACACCTACAATCTAGTAAACTACTACTTTTATATTTGACACACCAGTGAAAGTGTCACATGTTAGACTGCAGTTTCATTTGCGTTCTTACCCTTCTTGCTGCAGTCCTGTTTCTGATCCCTTCTCATGTTTGTCTGTGCTTCTATGGGCGTGGTCTACTGTCCTCTGGGTTTTATTTCCTTCCCTTCCATCACTTCCTGCCCCGCCTCCTTGTCTGCCTGTCTATATAAGATGTGCTCAGACTAGGCCACTCTGCCTGAGCAACTTCTTGTTGTTGGAGCTCCCATGTGTTTCCACTGTGAATCCTATGTTGTCTATCTGTGTACCTACCCCGGCTTCATTCCAGACCTTGCTTGTTTTCTGCCTGTCCTGACCTTGGCTTGCCATTGGATTCCCTGTGTCTTCTCCCGTTGTACCCTGCTCCCGCTAGCAGTCTCCTTCACCTCAGCTGGGTGTATCTGGGGGCTGCGACTTGGTCCCAGCCTGCTGCAAGTGCATCCCCACCATCAGGGGCCCTGGTGAACAAGCAGGCTGGGGCTTAGACTCCGCACCCTAGGGAACCCCAAGCTGTGGATCTATAGAGCTCACTACCATAGGCGTTGACAGAAAGACATATATATATATCCTTTATTAAACAAATTATATATATTAAAATCCAAAATAATAAAAAAATCTTGGCCAAGATAGCATTTTAGCTCCAATATGCAAGCACTAATAAATAGTGCACCATGTAGATATATTACACATTTTCATATGTGTTAAACTTAAATAAGAGCCCACATTGCTGAAAGAAATCCATCAATAAATCAAAATGCTAGTGCATGTGTTAAGTGTGATCCTTCTTCAATCTTTGTATTGTAAAGACCTGTGAAAACTGTTAGCCTTATATACTGCAAAGTCTGTATAATTATAATAATCTTTGGACTCTTAAAGGCTATCACAAGCCACTTTTAGCTCTATTAGAATATCAATAGAATACTAAATGGTAACTCGGCATGTGGTGCATCAACTTTGTATATATAGTATCCATTAATTGGACAATCAGGCCTCTTTCATACTAGCAATACCATAAATGAATCATACAAAATAAACAATAGATGGAGTATGCTTGAGTCCAATAAGCATAGATTTCAACACATGCAGGCCATTCCAGTATAGCGGTATGTCTACCAGTTGCCAGTCCACCAGAGTCCCGCACATGCATATCTTGAAGTCAAGAGAGGGCTTTAACTCTTATGTATCATTAATATTGTAGCAGTGTATCCAGCATACATATATAGAGTCCCGCATGCGCATTCCATCAAAGTACAATAAATTATTTCTAGAACATAAGCAGTGGTAAAGCTAATCAACACTTATCAGTTCATCAGGTGCAATATATGGGCAATCAATGTAAACAGGAAAAGTATTCAGCCTGACTGGTTTCACCAGTTCAGACCAACTGCATCAGAGGCATCTGTTTACATTGCACCTGATGGAGTGATAAGTATTGATTAGCTTTACTGCTTTAGGCTCATGAGGCCATATCTCAGCTAGAAAATATGAGATAGCCCATAAGGAAAAGCAGGATTTCCGAGAACAGAGGTGAGTAAGAACTTTGCTATCTTTTATCCATCTGGGCATTTGATTATTGATAGTAGTGCAGAGCCAATCTCCATGGTTAACGGTGTTCTGGCCAGTACACAAGATGAATAGAGGATGTTTTAGTCTGAAAGAAGCCTGGTTGCCAAATAGATATTTGTATATAAAGTTTATCCACATCTGCTGTCCTGGAGAATTTGGATAATGCATGCAGAACTACAATTTCACAATATACTGATATTCTAAAAGAGCTGTAGAGGCTGAGGATAGCCTTTAAGAGCCCAAAGATTGAAGGAGGATCACATTTACTACATCAGCTAGCATTTTGATTTATATTATTGGTGGATTTCTTTCAACAATGTGGACTCTTATATAGGTTTAGCACATTTCAGTATGTAACATACATTTAGAGGGTGCAATATGCATCAGTGTTTGCATATTGGAACTAATATGTTATCTTGGCCAAGATTTTTTTTATTATTTTGGATTTTAAACTAAAAAAAATATTAATGAATATATTTTGTATACATAAAGTAATGCCCTTCACTGGTGTGTCACATATAAAATTAGTATTTTACTAGTTTACAGGGGTTGCAGTTAAAGCTAGGAGGTTTTTATTACAGGGTTTATTCCTATGTTTTTACATGTAACTATCATAAATAGTTGTTTTGTCCTGGACTTGGCTTGCTGCAATCTCCTGCACTGCAGCACTTAAACTGAAGTCATGGTCAGTACCCTGAGTAAGCCAAAGATTTATTGTTTTCCACAATGCTGTCAGTCCACAGTTTCAGCAGTTTTAATGCTTATTGTACAAACATAGGCAGGGAGTATGATGAGTTCAGAAAGCAGGTTGGTGATCAAGCTGTATCGCTTTACCACAGTAGAGTAAAAGTGAGGTCAATGGCCTGGCTATGTCATCTGAAATGACCGTCTATGTCACAAAAATGGGAAAACACAATCACTAATCATTTTGTTTTTGTTTTTGATGGGAATGGGTAATACTCCTCTTAGGTGTTTTTCCTCTCAGTATCCCTGTAAAAGGTTTTTCTTTGCTTTCTGTCTAGAGGACACCACATTTAGGGGAAATCCTCTCTTTAAAATGTTTTTAAATGTCCTCCATTTAAATGTTTTACACTCATAATGTTGCGGGGATGATAGTAAAATTTGGATTTCCCATTAGGTTTTGTGCTGGAGACAATGGTCACCAGTACAAACAGAGACAGGGGTGGACTGATAACTCATGGGGCCCCCAGGCAATAGGGGATCATGGGGCCCCTGTGTCCTCACCCAAACTCAAACCACACTCAAAAAAAGCCTATGAAAGGTACCAAGGGCATCTCATGGGGCCCCCTACTGACCTCGGGCCCCTGGGCAGTGCCCGAGTGCTCGAATGGTCAGTCCGCCCTGAACAGAGAGTAATTCTCCCCAGCAGAAAAACAGACAGCAATCATTTATTCAAACTAAAATAAAGTCTTGACTATACATTAATTTTAAATTAGAAAAATGTAAGGTTTTAAAAGAAAAAATTTAGCATTACGTGGGCAAAATATAGAAGCCTTTCTGACTGTGAAAGCTGATATACTATGCACCCAAGCATTATGCCTCTGCTCATCCACAAATAAATATGAAATCCATCCAATACACAACCATCTTTACATTTTTATTACTAAATAAAGCATACCATAGATTACATATTATTTTATTTATACTGCTTTAAAGATTGATGAACCTATACTATGTGTTTATTACCTCATTTTTACGTTTTGTGCTTTGTAATATATATGTCACTGTCAGTTTATTTCTTTCTGTATTTCTTATTCAGGAGTCCTTGATTTGAAAATAAGATTTCTGAAGAGCATACAAGGACTTTTGAACGTTTAATACAGATGTCTGTTTTATTGTAACATTTTTCATGCTTTCTCAGGCAGCAAAAGCAATTTTTATATTGAGGAAATGTTGTGATTTGTAATAAGCAAAAAGAAAAATAAGTAACCTAAAAGAGTAAAAAGTTCTAAAAAATAAACAGTATATAAAAGATGCAATAAATAAATCATATGAAGCACAAACTGAACATGTATTTTTAAATATTTTACAATAATATATCAAATATAGTTACATTGTTACATAGATATTTTAAAAAAGTCACACGTCCATTGAGTTCATTAAATATATATTTTTAAATTAATTAAATAACTCCATATACATAATCCTATATCCAAAATTAATCCAGAGGAAGGCAAAAAAAAAACCCTATGTATTTTCCAGTTTGCTCTAAAAGGGAAAGAGGTGATGGAGGATGCCAGTGAAGAGGGAGAAATCGAAGGTGTGGTTTAGAGAACATGGAATAAAGCAAAAGAGTGACCCGAACAATTACAAGGGAACAGGGGAATCAGAGAAAGGTTTAACAACCCCTTCTGTACACACAGGGTCAAAAGAGGAAAGTATTGAATGTAGTGTTGATATACAGTATCTGAACAGAGAATATGTAGCCACTGAATTTTATAACCCTTTAGACCTTAACTTACACAGCAGCCATCTGTGAGGAACTGTGTCAAATATTTTGCAAAGTCCCAGTGTACTCTATTAACAGCCAATCCTTTGCTTACTTCACCATATAAAACAAGAAGATTTGTTTGACAACTTCATTCTTTTGTGAACTGTCACTTAATATTGTTTTCTATGTGGCCCTTCATGAAACTCCCAAGTATCATCCCAACTTTAGAAAATAAACTTACAAGGTATGTAAAGATTTTATCTCTTTTTAAATATGTATAAACACTACATTGGCCTTGCACCACTCCATTGTTACCAAGCCAGTTATTAGTCTCCAAAATTAGAAACAATTACTTTAAAATAACAGGGTTAAATAATGTAAGCCATCTAATTCACCTTTATTTTGTCTGTTTCTGGACCATATCAATTTTGGCTAATTTGAGGCTGAGACAATGCTATATCCATTATGGACGTGGGCCAAACCATTTTATTTTGTATATACAAAGTTGAAGAAGATGTTTAATAGATTTGTGTTCACTTTGTCCCCAGTCATCAACTCTGAGTTATCTTGCAAGGGGCCTTCATGCTCAGACCTGATATATTTACTTAGTCTTCATCTTTTGCAACCTATCATTTATTTTTTTATTTTTGCTATTCTTATTTCCCTTTTACGTCATTTGTTATAATCTTAATCTTTGGAAAATATACATATACAACATTGTATACATGCTATGAAATTAATTTATTTGGCAGGTTAAGATAGTATAGGGATTAAATCATATCTAAACTGAAAAAACATAATGTGATATTGTATCTAGCCAATCTTTAGATGTGAGTGCTGCATTTTTTAAACTTTTTTCTTTTGTTTTCCCCTGGTGATCTGGCTAGTAACACATAGAGTGGCTACACTCATTCTTCCTCTGTATCTGCATATGGGATCAATGTAGCAATCCGTGAACAACAGTATTGCTAACCTTTGAGGAAGGTAGTGCTAGATGGAGTAGTAGATTTTGATGGGCTTTACATTGTGATTAACAAATTAAGTCCAGCTAATAATTTTTAAACAGTTACAGGAGCAGTTTCTTTTTCCTTTGTGATAACGTTTTTCACTAAAAGTTTTCACTGTAAGCACCTCTGTTAGTACTAAATGTTTTTTTTATCAACTCTCCAACTTCCAGTTTTGCTGGACAGTCTAGTCGGGTAAAGGAAGTTGAGAAAGAACCGACTTAGGTCCTTTTCACACAGGAGATCCGATCAGGTCCACCTGTCAGTTTTTCAGGTGGACCTGATCAGATGATCCATTCACCTTTATGGACAAGCAGGTGAAAACAGACTTGTGTACGTTTATGCCAGCCTACCTCCAAGTACAATCCCTTAAGTCCCTTAAAAAAAAAACAGGAGATCCATCCCCTTCAATTTAGGTGGATTGTATGGGAGGGTAGTAGTGTGTAAACAGCCATTTGAATTTATATGCCTGTAGAGCAGAACAGGCTCTGTCAGTGTCCGCTCTGCATAAACTGATCTGTGAGCAGATCCCCTGCTGATCAGAATGGAGTCCTTTCCATGTTAAAGGGTCTTTTCTCTTAGGAGCAACAGGTAATAAATTTATGCTACAGGAGGACTCAGAAAAACAAAGACTGCTGTGTTGATGTTATTGACAGACTGCATCATACATGTAGCTTTGATTTTTCCCTATAGTTCTGCCTGTAATGTTTAAGGGGTTCATTGTTGGATCGTGATAAGTGTTAAGTGTTCAGGTAGGGTAATGTGCTATGGGAAATCATTATTAGTGAAACACTGGACAGCTATAGTATTTACTATAGTTCTCTGCACTTGGAGCCTCTTCCTGAAAGCTACTTGCAAAGGGCCACTGAATTTGAGAACAAAGTAAAAGTCCTCATTAAATTAAAGTTCTAAGAATATTATTTGTAAGATACCCCACCTGGAGAATGAAGTATAATGTATGTTTTGTGTTATCCATTAGAAGGGTTCCACATACAGTATGTACTCTAACACTCCCTCAGTTGTTAGTGCAGACTCTGTGGAATCTATTTCAAGGTCCAATGCTATTTCAGTGAAACTAAATTCCATACAGGTGTGAATATGACTATAAAATGACATGAGGTTTGATTTACTTTAAAAACTCTCCTATCCACAAAATAAGATGTCACTTGCCATGGTACTGCACATGTGAGCAGCTATGACATAAATCATTTGAGTGATTGAAAGATCAGTTAAGAGCTAACATAGGCACCCTGGCAACTGTGACAATCATCACCAGAGGCATGACTTGCATGCATAATGCACTGTGTATAAGTTAGTAGGCAATATAAACATGAGCATACTACAGAAGACCAAATTGGAATGTTTGCTTATAAATGTCATAATATTTTCCAGACATTTCCCATTTGAGTTTTCATATGGAAACCATGTAATTCAATGGGTTTAGTTCTGCTTTAAGTAAATGATTCATGATGACACTATTCATTAGGTTGGGGTATCTAGGCATCTGTGGTAACAAACAGGTTAAAGATGCTTCCATTTTAAAAGGGGAAGAGCCAGAGCAGTGTACAAGAACAGTTGTGGCATATGTTTAGTAGCAGGTCAGGATCAGCTGGCACAATATGGACCAATTATTCTAATGGGGCTAAATTACAATTGCACTTGCTTTGTTCCATATATCAACTCCAGCACTATCCATTTACCCCCATATTAAATAAACAAATAAAGTTTCTTTCCCCTGAGTGCTCTCGTATTATATTGGCCAACTGGGCCTAAATGTTGATCATTAAATGTAGGTAATTCAACTAGGAATGCTGGATGGCAATTGTACATAAACACTAAAAATATAACATTAATACAAAATGAAGGAAGAAATCCTGGAAATGTGTAATAAACTCACTGAAACCATACTAAGTAATTCAGTAATGCAGAAAAGGGCATATTTTTTTCCAGCAGCATCAAATAAAGGGAAATTAGCAGAATGAAAACAGAGCTTGTTTTCAAATCACCGTTGTCAAAAGTATTACTCACTACAGTCGTAAACCAAATAGATTTTTATGTAATCTGGCTAGGGTTACCCTGCAATTTGTTTACTGAATTCAACACTGTATCACAGGTGACGTCTGTGGATATTTTAATAGCTGGCTTTGCACATTATACAACTATGACCTTTTCAATTCATTCATATGTGCTATAAACCTCTTTAAATGTCGAGTCTCAATGCTTCATTTATAATAATTAGTGTGCTGTGATTGGAACTGAACGTTTGCAGCAGAAAAATGATGCTTGTTCATTTGCCTTGAACAAAACAGATATTAAAGTGCATTGCACCAAACGGGTTACCATTATCTTTGAGTAGAAGGGTCAATGCATAAAGATTTAAACTCTTCATATTTTATACAATACTTCCCCTTGCTAATAGCAAACATTGTTAATTTCATGGTACATAATCTGCATTGGAATAAATGGCAGGATTAGCAAAGCAGGTTAATTTTTGCAATTTTGGCATGTTATTGGACAAGTTACTTTTAGAAATGATATGATATTGAACTGGCAGCCTCTCAAATAGGGGAAGGCCACAAGTGCATTTTTATTAGGGATTAGTGTTGTAGAAGAGTAATTCCCACCTGTTTGTCATTGAACAAAGCTTCATCTGTGTTTCTGTATTTGCAGTCATTCATTTTCTGAGCTTCTCTGATTAGAATTTAAACTGCAGAACTTCAAAATTCCAGCTAACAATGATCAAAGATTTAACTATACCACAGGCTATTATTAGATGTATATTACTTTAGCCCTACTTTAAAGTGATGTATGTCTTTGTTACTAAAGGTAGATGAACAGGGTCACAGCACTTTTCTTCATTGATAAGACTTGGCCAATATTTGAACTATAATGTAAGAAGATTGTAGGGTTCACTAATCAGTTGCTGATATCTAGAAGCCCTGTGGAGATAGGAGTGAGGAAAAAGTTTGATTGATAGAAATTATCCACAAAATAAAAAAAATGTGAAAGTTACTTTTCTTCAAGGAATTACTTTGATTTTAATGTTCAAAAAAGGGTCACTTTTTACTGCTCAGTGCAAAAATGTAAATATATAAATTATAATAGTAAAATAGTAAAATCAGCCAGAAAAGGAAACAGTAATAATAATAATAAAAATAAATCATCATCAAAAAAATATAAATAATAATAAAGTGTTACTTGACACAGGAAGGGTGGAAAAATACTAAAAATAAATAGAAATATCACAAATAAATATTTTTTTCTGGATTTGCCTTTGGGAGTATTAGCTTCTGTCTCCTGCCAATTTTATGGAATTCTCTTACCTAACAGCCAACATCACACATGTGCTTTTTTCTTGAATTTCAGAAGAATCATGTGATGTCTTTAGTCACATGACCAAAATTTGGTCCTGGAATACTGCATTCAATTTTGAGCATTAAATTAACTAATAATAAAAAATCTGCAATGAAGTGCTATTGGACTACATTTCATTAGGATTATCTCTAAAATTGTATATATTTCCTATGCAACATAATGTTCCCGATTTTTTAAAGTACCGTGTTTTTCGCTCCATAAGACGCACCTGACCATAAGACGCACCTAGGTTTTAGAGGCAGAAAACAGGAAAAAAAAATTCTGAACTAATGGACTGCAGACATAGTACAGGGATGACCAGAGACTGCGGACAGCACAGGGATGACCAGAGACTGCGGACAGCACAGGGATGACCAGAGACTGCGGACAGCACAGGAGATGACCAGAGACTGCAGACAGCACAGGAATGACAAGAGACTGCGGACAGCACAGAGATGACCAGAGACTGCGGACAGCACAGGGATGACCAGAGACTGCGGACAGCACAGGGATGACCAGAGACTGCGGACAGTACAGATGACTGCTGACCTTTGGGGAGGGGGGGGGAGCGGGTACCTGAATTTGACAGGTACCCGCTCTTACTTCCTCGGAGTTGTTCTTTATCTTACCTGTTCATCGATCCAGCCGCGCGCTGTCTTCCCGGCTTCTGTAATGGCGCTCGGCATGACAGCCGGGTGCCCAGTGCGCATGAGCGAGAAGCACTTGCGCCTTGTGATTGGTCCGGCGGCTTCTGGGATCGGTCATGTGTCCCAGGTACCGCCTTACCATTCACAAAAAGCACCGCTTCTTGCGCATGCGCACTTGGCACCCGGCTGTCATGCTCAGTGCCCACACTACAGAAGCCGGGAAGACAGCGCGCCGCTGGATAGAGGAACAGGTAAGATAAAGAACAAATAAGTAAGAGCGGGTACCTGTCCAATTCAGGTACCCGCTCCCCACCTCCCCAAAGGTCAGCAGTCCTCTCCATAAGGTCCCGCTGCAGAGCTGGGCGGCCGGCCCGGTATTCTGCACGGCGGCGGTGGAAATACCGGACCGGCCGCTCTATATTCGCTCCATAAGACGCACTGACATTTTCCCCCCTTTTTTTGGGGGAAAAAAGTGCGTCTTATGGAGCGAAAAATACGGTATATGCCCATATAGGTATATAGTTATATAGTTAGTCTGGCTGAAAAAAGACAAAAGTTCATCCAGTTCAACCATAGAAAAAAAAATGTCATAATCCTATACCCACAGTTGATACAGAGGAAGGCAAAAAAAAACCCCAGCAAAGCATGAGCCAATTTGCTCCTGCTGGGAAAAAAAATTCCTTCCTGATCCCCCGAGATTCCCTGGATCAACTTTACCTATAAATGTTAGTATCCAGTTATATTCTGTGTATCTAAGAAAGAATCCAGGCCTTTTTTGAAGCAATCCACTGAGCTGGCCAGAACCAACTCTTGAGGGAGTCTATTCCACATTTTCACAGCTCTCACTGTGAAGAAACCTTTCTGTGTTTGGAGATTACATTTCTTTTCCTGCAGACGTAAAGAAAGCCTCCTTGTTCTCTGTGATGACCTCAGGGTGAATAGCTCTACATTGAGTTCACTATATGAACCACTGATGTATTTATATATGTTGATCATATCCCCCCTAATCTTCTCTTCTCAAGAGAGAATAAATTCAGTTCCTCTAATCTTTCCTCAAAGCTGAGCTCCTCCATGCCTCGTATCAGTTTGGTTGCCGTTCTCTATACTTTCTCAAGTTCCCCAATGTTCTTTTTGTGAATTGGTGCCCAAAACTGAACTGCATATTCCAGATGAGGTCTTACTAATGATTTGTACAGGTATAATATGATATCTCTCTCTCTGGAGTCTATACCTCTTTTAATACAAGAGAGATTTTGCTCGCTTTAGATATGGTAGTGTAGTAATTGTGCGCAAAGAAGCAAATTGTATGCTCACAGAATTTACCATCTGCTCACGATGTGTTCAGCAATGGTCCAGCTAGGCTGATGTGCCTTACAAAATTAGATTGTTTTAAGTCTATACAACCATTCTTAGCTTTTTAAAAAGTGCCACTCATGTAAACTGCATCAAGTAGTAAATCCCCAATTTGTGAAAAGCCTCAGTGAGCCATCTGCAGAGGGATATTGTACTGTGCATGTACACAAATGTTCAAGCACTAGCCTGTGAGGTTTGATATTTGTTTGTAATAGAGCTACCATTGATAAATACCCATAAATGTGCTATATATTTGTGGGAAAGAATGAAAATCTCTCATAGTGCAGTACCCCATTAATTGGGTACAGCACTATAAGAGATTTTCATTCTTTCCCTTGATATATTGACGTATATGACCTATTGAGTTATCCACTTGGGATGATGAAGAGAAAAGAAGTTTATACCCATTAAATTGGGGAAGGTTGTCTTTGACCTAATATTTAATGGGTCATTGAGTGGAGGTAAGTGGCAGCATTAAGTACAGAGTGGGGTTGCTGCATGAGGAGATTGGGAGCGCTATTTCTATTTTTGTGAAGGAGGATATTGCGCTGCTGACATTTCAGTTGGAGCATGGGGATATATGTTTTCTGTCCTTTTAATAGGATTATGAGAACTTTATGTGTTTGTATTTATTTAACATTTTTATTGTTTACCTTTTTTTTTGCATTTCTTGGTTTTTGCTGATATTTCACATATCACTAGTTGACATATTATCATTAATACAGTGTTTTTATAATATTGTGAAAATTAAGATTGTTGGAATTATGCAACACTATTTTGGAAATATACACTGTCTGATCAATTTGGTGCACTTTTATTTTTATTTAAATATTATTTGAGTGTTTTATGTATTTATTTTGTTGGAAACAAAAAAAAAAAATTATACAATTTTGGCAAACTCTGGATTATTTGGGATTATTACCCATAAATATTCTGCCTTTTCTCTCGTAACAGCCAACAAGTTTTTTTTTTTACATGCTAATAAAGTTGGCGCATACAAATTCTAATGCTTGGCAAGTGAATCATATTCATAATGTTTATTTTTATTGATTTTTAAGAAAAATATCAACTTGGAAGTGCATGCTCCAATCACACTTAAAACTAGGACCAAACCATACTAACTGAACAGCAGTGTATGATTAGATACATGGGGGTCTGTGCCTCACTGCTGCCTCACCAGAAAATAGTATATTGCAGCAGAACATTCTTTTTTTGAGCATCCAGCTTTCCTGGGAGGGAAAAGTAAGGCATGGTGATGTCACTCACCAGGGTCAAGGTGAGCTCTTAACATTGTGTTGTTTTATTTTTAACAGGCTTTTTAAGCAATATGTATTTTGGGGGGTAGAGGCTGTCCTGGAAGGTCAGTTTTAAGTCAGAGGACCAGGTGAAGCAATATTACCCATGATTCTCTTTTGTATTTTTGTTTCCATGTATACTTTATAAAGTAGAAAAGTAATAGATAATAGAAGTGTAGAAATTCTCTCTCCATCATATTTTCTATTGATGAAAATGGTTTATCATTAAGGTTTTTTTTCTTCTGCAAAAATGTTAATATAAGTATTAAATAATGTTACTTAATACAGTTTAAATGATAAACATATGATCCTGTCAAATTTTGTGTGATGTTTCTATGGTTAGGCTTTGTAGCCCCTTCAAACCTCTTCAAACACCACTAGCCAAACATTTTTGACTTATAGCAACCATTATGCTATAGGGAAATGGAAGGCCATTATTTCTGCTGTTGAAATCTCATTTCTGATACCAATGAGAGGTATAGTTGACAGCAGGGGCGGACTGACAACTCATGGGGCCCCTGGGCAATAGGGGATCATGGGGCCCCTGTGTCCTTGCCCAAATTCAAAAAAGCCTATGAAAAAGGTACCAGGGGCATCTCATGGGGCCCCCTACTGACCCCGGGCCCTCGGGCAGTGCCCGAGTTTCCAAATGGTCAGTCCGCCCCTGGTTGACAGCTTTAACTAAATTTTGAAGAATTCGTTTAAACTGGTCTTATCCCTTAACAATTGTATTTTGCAAAAATGAAATGTACACAGGTAAAACCTACCTTCTCTAATGGGGAAGATGTGTGGGCGAGAAATTGTAATTTATTATTATATACAGGCACATTGCACCTAACTGAAAGCATATTTTTGTCTTTAAAGCCCAAATTCCCAAGCTTTGTGGATAATAGAGCCTTTATGTGCACTCGGAGAAGTTTACCATTAACATAAAAAGTTTCCTTATCAAACAGCTTGCTTCATGAAACATGTACTTGCTTGTATTTCTAAAAGTATGGCTGACATAATTAACGTGTTGATGCAGTGATAATATTTTATTAATTAATAGTAAACTTGACTTGTCAATAAATTGTTGCCTTCCTAGAACAAAACAATGCATATAATGGGACCAATTATGATTCAAGCCTCCTACTCACACAAATACTCAGATTGTAAAACAATGCATAATGCATTTTTTTTATGTGTATAAATGTGTTTTACTTCCTCAACATAAATTATTGATACATTTGTGTAGGTGTATTTAGGAGTGGAAGAAATTCAAGAAAATAAAATGTTTGCTCAAGAAGCAGGAATAAAGCATTTATTGTGGAATATTTTGCATAGTTTTTAAAGTATATCTAAACCCAAGAACAAAAATATTCTTACACATGGTGGCTGCATTAGTTATCTTTTTTCAAACTTTTTCCTTTCCAGTTTTATCTTGTGATCCTGCCAATAACACACTTCCTGTCTCAGGATAACATAACTTAATTATTGTAATGTATCTGTAGAGGAGAAGCACTGTAACACTAGGATATGACTACAGAACACATCCCCCTCTCCTCTTCTCTATACCATGGGGGGAGGTGTTTGTTGTCTACAGAAATACTTGATAATTACAGAACTGATATAACAAAACATTTTGAACTGTATATTAAGTGGGCCAAAAGCGAGCAAATAAGAAAAGTTTAATGTTAAGGTTTACATGCCCTTGAAATGTGACCCTTGATTGGTGACAATCTCATATCTATGGGCACATGTGAACACCAACAGGTAAGAGATGGCAAGAAATAGTCATCAAACAGATTATACAGCCTCATGCAATATCTATTATCTTCTTCTACATGGTCTGTAGATGGAGGCACCCTGCCCCCTACTAAAATGAAACCCTAACGTGTATTTTCACATTTGCAGCCAAATTGGGATAACACCTACTTTATATCTGATGCATGCCCCTGTTTTAAAGAGCAAGCAAAAAGTCAGGTTAGTTTTCTCTGTTTGAGAGGACAGACTTAGGACAAACTCACTCTAAAGTTGTTCAAAAAACCCTGCAAAAATCCATGACACCTTCTCCTTAGAAACATCTAAAAGGTAAGAAAAATGCTGTGTGAATGGGAACATGGGAACATGTGACAAACATATAGTGGGATTTTTTCAAAATTGACTGCAAAAGTGGAAATACGCTTTAAGTCATTGTCAGACAGTGGGCTTATGCCTTATTGTATGATGTAGTCTCATATCTGTTTCAGTTATAAGAGCCCTGTCTTGTGCGTCTCATAGATGTAAAATGAATGCTTAATTCAAGAAGTCATCTAATGTCAATTGGCACCTTTACATTTTTGGTGACAGTGGCTACCAGGACACAAAACACATGAAAAAATACCTCCAAAAGAGACATAAACAGCAATAAAACTACACCTATAACTTCTATATTGGGGAAGACCCAATATAACCCATTATAACCACTGTCAGGATGTATTGCTGCTTGTACCTTTGTCAGGAAGATTTTCCTTCACTTCCTGCACTGCTGACAGGGGATATTTTATCCTCTTGCTCCTGGAGCACTCTGGAGCTTACGCTTGAGAATCATTTCTTCTGGCTGTGGAGGAAAAATTGGAATTATGTATTTAATTGTGTGGTAGTAGGTCATAAAATTGTGTATGTGCATTATTACATGACTTACTGGGTAGAAGACAATATTGTTATAACTCCTTTTTTGCAAAGGGAGGATTAACAGATATGTACATTTTGAAAAAAAACACTGACAGATCACAAATATCCAACTATGAAAATATGTTGTAGATCACAATTTGGCAAAACAATGGCAGAATGGATTTTTGGTGGTGCCATTTTTATTTTTTTAGAAAGCATATTTGGCTTAATGAGAAAATAACAGATTGCATAGACGACAAATAATAATTATCTCAAATCTGTGACCTGTAGCAAATAACATGGCATTGCTTCTACAAAATGCTCAAATGTTGTAAGCCTTGCTTATATTTCATATAATAGCTGGGTATATGATTTGAATTATTTTCTCTTCTCCTTTTTAATTTGAAAAATTGTGTAAGAACTAGGCAATATGTCGGCTGGTTCAGCATGATTTACTGTACTTTAAGGTCAATTTACATGGTGACGTCCGGTGGAGGGTCCCATGCAGGCTTACTGCTAAAAATATTGCCAATGTAGCAATATACCAATATCTTAACCAATGATACATAAAACCTTATTTGTCAAACTTTAACTTTTAAATTGTTTCAGAAGTATATTGCAATTTAAGCTAGTCATAAATGGAATCAACACTCTATTAGTATACCCTCCCCTTTCATTGCATGAAAAGAGTGGCCATAATTGCATTATGCCTAACTGGTAGTCATTAGGGATAAAGCTGTAATATCATCACCATGCTAAGGCAATCTCTTTTTTTGGCACAGAATCAAACTTATGTTAAATAAATATTCTCAAACTAGTTTTGAATTCAGACTGAAAGACTCTTAGGGGTTTGTTTAAAAAATGTTAGGTGAATATAACAAGCATCCCTCTATTCTTGATGAATTATGATCATATTTTTCTTAATACAATGTTTTCCTATGGTCTTCAGCTCCATCCAGTGACCATAATGCAGTATTTTTTCTGATTGAGGTATTCCAGGAAAAATTAACACATTATAGCCAGTAGATAGAACTGACAGTCATAGGAAAATCACTGTATTAAAGTGGTTGTAAAGGCTGCAAGTTTTTTACCCAAATGTATTCTCTGCAATAAGGTAAAAAATCTTCTGTTGTCAGCTCCCTACAGCCACCCCCTCCAAATATTGAGCCCAATCTCAATCCAATGCTGCGCTCGCAGCAGCTCTCTCCACTCTTTCCTCCTCGCCGGATTCAGTGAGAGCAGCGGGAGCCATTGGTGATAAAGGAGCAGGGGGCAGGGCCAAGCAACACTGTGTTAGTCAATGGACACACAGAGCACCATTTTGGGATTGAGCCCACACGTGTGAAACCATTGGAAGTGGGTATGACATGGTAAGCATGACATGCTTGTTATTTAAAACAAAATAAATAACTTTACAATCACTAAGCAAAATATGGTCAGAATTCATGTGGAATCAGTGAATAGAGTGCTAGAAAAACCAATAGTACAAAGCAGCTGGCATAAAAGGTATAACCTCCAACCCTCATAAAACAAAATATAAAAATCCTTTTTATTTTTTTTTAAAACGTGCAAGTGCAAGAAATGCATTAGGGAGGAGTCAAGCCAGTGATGTCACGCCGCATGAGCCATGAGGGAGGCCGGTGGCCATCTTTGATACTGTTTCTACATTCCTGTATACCTGAGCTGCATTCCTGTATACCAGATCTGAGTGCTGTCAGAACACTTGTTTACCATTGAATTAATAAACTTATTGCACTATATAGCACTTCTCTTTCTGGCTCATTTATTTTGAGCTGTTAAAGTGGATATCTTAAGTGCTTTTTATTGGATACATACACACTTGGAGTGGCGTTTTCCTGGAATCCGGAGAGTAGCAGTGGATGATCAGCTGATGTGCAGATGTATGCCAGATGATCCCCGTTGTTACCCTAGGATGATGATGACCAGGAGTTGTCTATGTTACTCAAAGGTGCTTTTTATTGCGCTATCTGGTTAGTGCAATATATTCTCATTTCCACATTCACTTGAAGCACAGATTTCACCCACCTGTATATTGGACATTTGCTGTCACCTACGCACCATTTACGTCATACTGAGAAGTAATCAACACATTCACTGTGGCGCTCCGCAGCACATTTTGTTTACTTATTTTGACTTTGGTGGGACTGTGCACGTTTTTGCTGCTTAATTAATACGCAAGCATTTGATATTGGTTTATGTACGTATATGTATGTTTACATAGACGCATTTATATTGAGCCACACGAGTATTTATGTTCTATGTTATTCACTATTCTTTACTGTTTATGAGGTTGATATTAGTTTAGAGCGCTGAATTTTTTATATTTATGAGGAATCAGTGAATGCTTGCCACATTTGTCTAACATTTTTTTTTTTTTAAATAAAGAGTCTCCTTACTGTTATTAAAAACACAGAAACATTTCTAAAGGGTTTTTCTTCACTTAAAAAAATTTGAACTGAAAAGTAAAAATTTTCTATCCTATGAGGAATATCTAAAAATGTTTATTGTCCCTGAGCAGTAGCTTTAAAGATTTGCCTTTTGTCTTGAATTCCTACTGAAAAGTAAGGGAGCAATTTTTGTGTCTAGGTACTACTATGCCTTGAGAATCATAACTATATATCTAACTATATATCTGCAGTGTATGTAAAGCACTGTGTCTCTGACTGCTATTCTCATGTGATTTAAAGTGAGATTTCTCTTCTCCTATTTTAATTGAAGAATTGTGTAAGAGATAGGCAATATGTCAGCTGGTTTTGCATGATTTACTGAACTTTAAAGGTCAATTTACATGGGACATCCGTTGGACGTCCCACGCAGGCATATTGCTTAAAATATTGCCAATGAGGTAATATACTAATATCTTAAACAGTGATACATAGAACCTTATTTGTCAAATGTTTGAACAGAGCAGGTAATTATGACATGTTTAATATTTTTTTTTTAAAAAGTGAAATTTGGTGAAGTCACTACTGTACTACTCACTGTTCTTGCTGGCAAG